AACCTGCTCCTGAAAAAAAGTAAAAATAAGAAAAGACAATAAAAAGAAGAAAAATAAATGGGAACACCGGTGACGGAGGAGAAACACCAGTGACGCCACTGACACACACAAAAAAAGACAGCGAATATACAGCATAGAAAAGAATAGTATATACACTACTGTATATAGTATTAAATGCTGTATAAAGCACTGACACTTCATACAGTGACACCAGTTAGCTTTCACTTAATTACACTACACTGCACTACACTGACAGCTACACGGACAGCTATGCTACACTGACAGCTACACTGACAGAAACATTCTATTTTTAACTCTAGCAACATACTACATACAACATACATATAGTGTGGGGCTGGGACTTAGCTGTGAGCCATGATTGGGCAAAGTCATCATTACTTTGCCCAATCATGGCTCATACAGAGCCCTGAGCGGGCAAAGTCTTGCACCTGACCAGTGATCAGGTGCATTGGTTTACCCAATCAGGGCTCTCCAATGCAAACTGTGCATTGCGGGGTGTTCATCAGCGAACAGCCCGCTGAACACCCTCACAGTGCGTGTGCTTGCTGAACACACGAACTGCCGATGTTCGAGTCGAGCCCATGACTACTAAAGAGATCATCAAAAGCACAGTGGGCATATGAAATACTAGACCATTCAAAGTCTTATAAACACTCACAAGCTTTTACATCTACCTTGATCAATGTTTCTCCAAGCTAAGGATTTGTATATATGGTGATACATATTACCTTTGTAGACAGCTGAAAGCAAAATTAATGCTTCATGTGCAGGATTTTTAAATATGCATAATGTTCTTTCCATGACCAGTGGCATCCACCAAAAGAAGCATGCTGATTTAACCAGCATACTGAATGTGTTTGACTTTGTGAAGCAGACTGGTCATTCATGTGTTCTAAATTTCTCTTGACACTTTTAAAGGGTATCACGTTGGCCATCTTGGGCTGGGAAAAAATGAGATGCGCATAAAAAATGCCATCTACCTGGGCATGTTTTGACACCATCTGAAACCAGATCTTACCCACAGTACTTCTAAATGGGAAAAATAACAGTGTCTGTTAACTAAGATGTGTTTGTATCAATGAAAACAAGAGTTAAAAAAATAAACAGGAAAGTCAACATGATTTGTTGATTTGTTATTCTAAAATGGAGGCACATATATATTTTATGACTTCAGCTTATTTGAAAGCTATCTTTCTTTACCAATTATAATGTTTTGCTTGGAAATATCAGTTGTTTTTATGCAAAGGAATGCACAAAAACAGAGAGAATGCATCCTGCTCCATTTGATTGAATTTAGTAAACCCATAAACGTATGCAGGATTATACATTTTATGTTCAGCTAGAAATAGGAAAAGTAAGAAACTGAATAACATAAAACACAATTAAGATCCGGTGCTATCATTTTTCACTCTATGCTATTTCCACTATGTATAATAATGCAGTTGTGATCTGTGTTTTGCTGCTTATCCACATTGCTACATCTTGTTCTTTTCCTAGAAATTACTTTTGCAATCAAAATTCTCCCTTGCTTGCTGTCTATACCACTTGAGTTGATTATATATTTCTCTGCTGTTCTGGGTTGTCTCTGCATTCCGGACATTGTAGCTTCTTTATCAAATTAGACCAAAGCACAATGTTTTGTCTTAAGCGCCCTCAAAATGAATTACACAGCCTCTGAATTTGTTCCTATTGCTGGAAAATGCAATGACTTTAGGACAGAATAAGAAAATTCATATTTGAAGTGCCCCAAATTTTCGGGGAATGTCTAATTCTGCTGGAGGATGAAGATGATATCATATATCATCTATGATGCAGTCACATTTGGTTTAATTTTATCTGTGGCATAGGATTTATCGGAAATGATTTCAATGATACAATGAAACATTATATATATATATGGTTTCTGGAAAATACTGTAGTTCAGTTGCCATGACAGCAACACACTGAGACAGACCCTATACATCCAAAAGACCCAACACCCAAGCACAAGCAAATTAACCTGGTACATGCAGTCCTGTGCAGTAAAACATTCTGTATATTGAAGAGGCCAATACAAATAGACAAACTCTATGGATCAGGGCTCAGCAGTCTTCCTACTCTTTATGGAGCAGGGACATGCTTTTGAGGAAAGTGAGGTGAATATTTTGGACACAAGGGACAACTGGTTTTCAAGAAGCGAGAAAAACTGGAGCAACCCTTGCTAAACATGAACTGGAACCTTCGACATGTCACCCACATTTAATGTTGTTTTAATATCTTTATTCTGATTATTTGTTAGCCTACACTAAGTAAATAACATCTGTGGCACTGTGGCAACTGGATTAGATTAATTAGATTGGATGTGTCGTGCAAAATTTTAATACACACAATCTAATTAACATTTGCCTAGACACATTTTATGAAGCCATGATCATTGGATTAAAGTGACTGAGATACCCATGCTGGCTATGTCTAGTAGTGTCATGCCTTACTGCACAACTACAGAATAAAGTTCCAAAACTGAATTTGTGCAGGTACAAAATTCACCTTTCCAAAGCAATAACCATTTTTTTTTTTTTTAACATGGTTGTATTTTCCATTGAATGAATAGAAACAATTCTGGATACCAAATCAAAAGGTATAAGCAGAAGTTGGTTCTTGCTTGGATCAGTTGACAAAGATAGCAAGTGATTAGACAACACAAGTAACAAACAGACCCTGTTCAATGCACATCAGGTACTGTGCTTTTTGTGCTAACAAGATTCAAACTAGTAACAGTTTCCTTAGAGACTGTAATACTTGAGTCTCCTGATGATACTATTTAAGGCTGTAACTCACTGCACAAGCCTACACTGCAAGAATACAATGTCCTAGGCATTCTCATAGCATTAGAGTTGCCGATGCCAATTAATTCCTTTGAATACAGACATATGATTAGGAGCATAAGAGATGCTCCTATGCCACCTCTCTCCGCAACCCACCACTCAATCTGCCACCCAGCCATTGTCATGATCCCCGGCCAGTGTAGGCCTGGCTCTCATAGCAATGCCCCCTCCATCCTCATTGGTTGGTGGGAGCACTCCCCCTCGGGCTGCATCAACATTGCTAGGCAGTGGGTCTGCTCTGTCTGCCTAGCCTTCTCTGCTGTGATTGGATGGTGGCACTGTTGCTCTCTTTTCAAACACCACAAGCCCAGGATTCTGGGCTTGGTATAGTTGAGACTATACAAACTTTGCACTTGCATCTTATTCCTCATAATCTAGATTCTGACCTTGCTGACCTGTACCTGGAATGCTCTCTAGTCTGCTGGTTGCCCTGACTGCAGCCTGTTCCTGGATTACCCTCTTGTCTGCTGCCTACTCTGGCCTTTGACTTTTCCTGGATAACACTACTAACTGCTGCCAGCCCTGATCATTTCCTTCCTCCAGTTTTTGCTACTGTCTACGCTCCTGCTGAAATGTTAGCCCATGCCTGACTCTCTTTGGGTTCACAGGTACTCTTCACTCCACCTCTAATGTTGCTTGTCTAGTGACTGTAGCACTGTAGTGATTAAGCCCTGGTGCAACCAAGTACTGGTAGGCTTGCTTGCCTTATGAGAACAGGGGCTGCTATAGCTGAAGGTACACTCAACAGCTATAGTCCCTGACAATCAGTGGTGACACAAGCATTACACTTATCTAGTTATTTAGGTCCTATTGTATATTTAGAATCAGTTGCTGCCTTGCCTTCATTTACTAGTGGGTCCCCGCATCACTGTCTCCCCTGCCCCCTGCATGGGTGCCTACATCAGCTAAGTGACTGCTGTGGATGCACCCGTGTGTGCGCATTCCCAGCCATGTCCGCAGTGGCTGTGTGCATCCATAGACACACACAGCCCTGTGGCAGGCCACACCCCTCCTTTCTGCCCAACAAGTTGATTGACAGCAGAAGGAGCCTATGGCTCATCTGCCCTCAATCTCCTCCTCTGCAACCAGGAAGTTCGGAACGGAGGATCGCTTCAGGGACTGGTGGCAGTGACAAGCGGCACTGACAGGTAAGTGTGGAGGGGATGGGGACACAGAAAGGTACTGGGCATTGCCATTTTTCTAGCCTCCGTTTCTAAAAACTGTAGTTTGCAGTGTTAGGAAATGAGACTACTTGGTCTGAATTTTTGCAGATTTGAATTCAGAGCTCTGAACAAGCATGCATACAACACATGGATATACAAGGCAAATGCCAGTCAGAAAAGTATAGACACACAGCAAGTAGGCTTTGCCAGCCCAGTTATATTAAAGGAAAGATATATATGTTTTTATTGGAGTATATCTATAAGTAGGAATGAGCGAATCCAGAAAAAATCTGCTGAACCCCAATATCAACCCTATTAAAGTATTAAAGTCAATAGGAGCTAAACTTTTTTACTTTACTTTAAAAAAAAAACACTGTTCAATGGGGAGAGAGTCTCCCCATTGAACAGCAATTACAAATGCAGAAGATCCACTTCAGATCCATTTCAACCATGATAAGTGCCACCCAGTGATCTTCATCCACCATTAATGCCATCATAAATCATCATCAGTGATGTCACCCAGGTTCCTCACTGGCTTGTTTACAAACAGAAGTTGCCAGGGATCTGTCATGTCTTTAGTGGTAGCTTAAATTACAGACTTTATACACAAGCATTAGCCAGTTTTTGAGTTTTTGAATTGGGTGAGGTGGCCAAATATGAACCTATGATCAGCCCGAATCCCGAATCTGAAGAAGCTCATGCCTATTAACCTCAGGTATTCTGGATAATAAAATGTATTTGTTTTTTCTCATTCTTGCACATGTAACAATGTGAAAGCACTATGCTATTTGTGTTGTAAAAAAAACAGGGCTTCCCCACTTGTAATTAAGTTAATTATCCAATTTAGCACCTCTTCTATAAATATGTTTGTATATGCAAGGTGTAAAAAGCAGTATGTTTAAAGCATTTTAGTAGCTGTAAGCCTTAGTGTTGTTTTAGTGCAAATTCTTACCTGATACCATGAATAGGCTCGATCTGAAGGGTCAATCAAAATGATGATAATTTTTGCCTTTGGGATTAAAGCTGCTGCTCTTTTTGGAGCTTCTTCAGAGTGGAAGTAGTTAGCACTTTTTTCAAACACCAAATCAGTGGTGGCATTTGATGGGGTTGGGAAGAAATCCATGTACCTAAGAAAATACATTATGTTCTAATCATTTGTTTTCATGGTTCTGTATATACACATTAAGATACAACACTGCTACAATTTATTATACAGTGTACAGATTTTTCTTTAAGTTAATTATTATTATTATTATTATTATACAAGATTCATATAGCACCAACAGTTTGCACAGCGCTTTACAAAATAAGGAAGACATTACAATCACGATACAATTCAAAACAAGATTTTAAGGATTGGTGTATAAGTAAAATCACACACTTAACAAATTAAAACAATTAAAACAATTAAGTTAGCATGTATTCATCAAAATCAGTACATTATATTTAAATGCAGCTAATGTAAGTTCCTGAATTGATATTGATATCAGGCTCCTGCTACCTACACAGTAGCCCCAGGAATGCAAAAAGGGTGTACAGCAGTAGGAGTTAATTAAGCCTGGCTGCACTGAACATTTGCTGACAAGTAACAGGCTAACCGTTGGATAGATCAGAGTGATGGCTCTTTGCAATTCTGCTACTCCTGAAGGGTCTGTTCACCCAAGAGTGATACGCCTGATGTGCTATATCACTCAGTGATTTCTTATACTGTATATCATGTGCGCTGCAGTCTTGAGACTTTAGTTCTAGATGGGTGTGTCTCCCTTTGCATTCTCCATAAAAATAATTTCCATATCTACCATAGAAATGATGACCTCTTTGTAATGAATGTACCAGTTCTACAGGGGAATCGGCCCTGAAGGAAGGGAACTTCAACTGAAGCTGTAAAAAGTAAGTGAATTACTAATGAATGGCACAAAATATGGAACAGCAACTTGAAGCTACATAACAGAATGTTGTCTTGCACATTATTAGATAATTGAAATGTATATACAGTAGTTTCAATTTCTTTATTTTACTAGGGGGCTCATTCACACCAGGTGCCTTGAGCTGCATTGATCAGCAATGATGAATGTGGGCTCAATGCATGAATGCATAGACAATAATTGTTCTCTGTATGTCTTGTTCACACTATACGTGTGTGCTGACAAAAATGCTTGTCAATGCATTGCAGCTCATTGCAATAAGCTGATGTGCATAGAGTTGAATATAATGCCATTTTGTGACATTTTAAAAGGTCAAACGAAAACTGGAAAAAAGTTACCACTGTGATATGATGTGACAATGCACACCAGCACACATTCTAACGTGCATCTGCTGGTGTGACCTTACAGTGGCCATGTACATTTTCTAGTAAGATGAGTTTCCTGACTCTGTAATGTATATACAGTAGTTTCAATTTATTTATTTTACTAGGGGGCTCATTCACACCAGGTGCCTTGAGCTGCATTGATCAGCAATGATCAATGTGGGCTCAATGCAAGAATGCATAGACAATAATTGTTCTCTGTATGTCTTGTTTACACTACACGTGTGTGCAGACAAAAATGCTTGTCAATGCATTGCAGCTCATTGCAATAAGCTGATGTGCATAGAGTTGAATATAATGCCATTTTGTGACATTTTAAAAGGTCAAACGAAAACTGGAAAAAAGTTACCACTGTTATATGATGTGACAATGCACACCAGCACACATTCTATGGACCATAACGTGCATCTGCTGGTGTGACCTTACAGTGGCCATGTACATTTTCTAGTAAGATGAGTTTCCTGACTCTGTATATGCATACTGCTTTTTTTTTATATGCATACTGCTTTTTAGGATAAAGGCTCAGTAAGAGATACGCGTCTAAAGCATATCCCTAAATGGTTTCTGTACTATGTGGACCTGACCATTCCGTTCTTTATTTCACATAAAATCAAAGTAAAAACCTTTAAACACCCCCATGCCTGACATTTTATAAAATAAACTTTGAATACAGTTAAGATCTCCTGGGCGCTGTAATTTAACTTCACATCCAAAAAGCTGACTGGAGAAAAGCAAGTTATTAGATGTCAACTAAGAATAGCTGAGGTAATGATTAAAGTCCTGCTTGTAATTCCGCACAAGCCAGCAGTGTCTAGCAGTCATTTTACTTCCCGGGGTTAGTGAAAGTTAGGTTTTATAGAGGTACAGAGTAATCAATGGTCAACAGAAGTAAAATATATTGACTTAATAGAATAAAGTTCAGACTTGTGAAACTTGCTGAAAATGACCTATAAAAGAAAGCCAAGCTAGATATGATTGATATGTGAAAACATGCATAACATTTCAAGGTCTAGATAAAATGACCACTTTTTACTGTTCATTTTTGAAATAATAGCTCAATGTTAGTTTGTTGAAACACGGCACAGTCAGTGGGCATTGGGGAGCTTGCCTCATACTTGGTTGGTTTATGATCTCTAACTCACATGAGACAAAGGAATGGAACACTGTTTTGCTGCAGAGGAAAGGAAATCAGCTCTGTTTTATTGTTCTTATAGTAATGTAGCATCTTGGTTTGCTCGAGAGAGAGCTCCTGCTTTTCAGATTCAAAGCCGCAGCTTGACTGGAGTTTGGCTCATTGTTGCCCAATATTGTTCCGTTATATATAGCAATATTGTATACACACTTCCACAGACATACACTTGTCTATTTAGAGAGCAACAGATGTTAGTCACACAGACAGACTTGAGCGGAGGCGGCCATCTTATCGAGGTGGACACCCAACTTGTGATGTTGGGATCAGTTTGCTCTCTGAAGCATCACTTCTTGGACCTTACTAATATTTAGATCTTATGCCTGCATGCTATTTCTTCTTATACATATACCCTATATAAAATGTTCTGTCTGTGGTTGTTTTAAAAATTGCACAGGCTATTACGCATTTGCATTTGCTAAAAGGCAAATGCGTGTCCTAATATCTAGACTTACAGCACCTTTTCTTTTTTGGCTTCCAAACCACCTTCTTTTTGGATTCTCCGTGCACATCTCTAACCACTAAGAGTGTGCCAACTCTGTCTGATTTTCTGAGAGATATTGCTGACCTTCCTCCATACACACTCTCGGCCGAGGCATTATATGGACTTTATTTCAAAGGAGGAGGAATAGGTTACGTAAACTTCGGAAAAACCAAAAGAGGATACCTCCCAAAAAGAACAAACAGGATACGTGAGTAGGAACTTTGAAACTGCTTCATTCTATGTGCTTATCTCACAAGATTAACCCCCCTCACTTTGGAGACATTAAGGGGAAAAATCCAATCAAAATGGTGCACTCACCTAACCAAAACACACTAGTACCTGAAATATGATACACACATTTAAAAATCAGGAATAAAATCCTCCTTGAAACAACATATGTCAGATCGAGGACCTGACACAGGGAAGGAGCCAATCGATAGCCTGGCAACGCTCTGACAACTTTTATTTTCTACAAACTATCAAAATCTCCCCCAGCGGGAATACAGTCTATCAAAAGAGCTACTATGTAATACTCCACACTGAATAAGGCATATCTAAATCAAGTAAGGTGGCGAGCAGTAAGCCACATAAATCCATAAATGAATGTGATATATGACAAGCCTGGGATCAATGCTTATCTACCTGGAGTATGTACCATTGCAATCTAAAAGCTGTTACCCTAAAAGGTCTTGATATAAAGGTGCCAAAATAAATAGGGTCTATATTCACCATCCAGAACCAAATTGAATTACAGTCAGTTAATTTTTGTGATTTTAATGGTGCTGTTAGATGTTTGGTGGTGCTTTGATATGTATTAATAAAGTTTTTGTACGATTTTCTAATTCGGTCTGTCCCGATCCTTACTTAACCCTTAGACTGTCTTCCCTTTGAAGGCAGTCTGATTCCTGTTTTTATATATGGATTAAAAGGATGATGAGTTGTAATTAGGTGTGAAGGGGCACTTTAACCATTTGGTGTTAAACCCCCTTCCTGGCCAGGCCATTTTTCAGTATACAGTATAGCTCTGCGGTACTTTGACTGACATTTATTCCGTCATGCAACACTGTACTGAAATTAATTCTATGCCATTGTTTTGGGACAGATAGAGCTTTCTATTGGTGGTATTTAATCACCACTGGGGTTTTTTATTTTTTATTATATAACATTCCTGAATGGCCAGATCAGAGCCTTACAGGAGCGAGAGGGGAAGACGTCCTGCCCCTCCCCGCTCGTACCCGGTGCCCAGCGCGCACCCGAGTGGGGAAACTGTCAGCAATGTAAACTGCCAGAGATGGCTGTTTACATTAAATCGATCGGACGCCTCTAGAGATGCCCGAGCGCTTGTAGTACCAGCGGGTGTGCGCTGTCTCCATCGCCGCCGCTGCCAGTCCCGAGATTCGCTGTGCCCGGTGCGGCTGGGACTGGCATGGCGATGCTGTCAGTGGAGATCAAAGGGAGTTCAGTACATGAACTCCCTTTGATCTCTTTTCCGGTCCCTGAATGCAGGAAGTGATGTATAATACATCACTTCCTGCATTCAGTGTCACTCTCCGGTTACAGATGCCGATGCGAAGCTGATGAAGCAGAACTCTGCTTCATCAGCTTCTCTGGCGGTCCCTAGGTGACATTAGGGGTCTTAGAGACCCCTGATGTTGCTATAAAGAGGGCCTGTTATGTGAATTAACTATCACAAAGGGGATTTCTTAGCAATAAAGTTAAGTGTAAAAAAAAAAAGTGTAGAAAAAATTAAAGCATAAAAAAATTATGCAAAAACAACGATTCCGCCTTTTGTGCCACACATGTTACATATCGCTGCGAAAGTCGGAATGAGAGCAATAATTTTAGGGCCATTAATCACTGATAACACTAAACTGACGAGCGGTAAAAGCTTTTAAAGCATCGCCTATGGCCAATTTTGGGTGTGTTTGTTTTTTGCGATTTCGTGCGCACGCGCAATTTTAAAGCTTGACATGTTTGGTGTCTATTTACCCAATGTGACCCCATCTTTTATTGTTTTACAAAAAAAATCACTTCCTACATTCGGCAACCGGAGAGGAGATCAGAGGGAGATTGTGTACGGAACTATCTTTGATCTCCAGTGACAGAGCTGCCGTGACGGTCCCGGCTGCAACAGGCACAGCGGATCTCGGGACCGGCGGCGATGGAGACGGCGCACACCCGTCTCCATCGCCGTCGGGCATCTCTAGAGACGTCGATCGCTTTAATGTAAACAGCCATCACTGGCTGTTTACATTGCTGACAGTTTCCCCACTCATGCCACTGGGCACCACGCACGAGTGGGGACGGGATGTTTTAAGATGCCCACCCGCATCTAGAAGGCTCCCGTCTGTTCGTTTAGGTATGGCCAATGGACGGAAGGTGGTTAACCAATGCATTTGGTCTTGGACAACTTATTTATGTGTCTATTATTATTTTTACCATATATGTTCTAGTGGTCTAGGAGATATGATCACACACACCAGGTAACCAGTGTTTATATTTGTTGTACTTTAGCTTTACTTAATTGGCCACAGACAAACTGAAATCCAGGCTAAACAAATATTGTCTACATACAAGAGCCACCTATACTTGTCAGTGCCATCTAATAGCTCTAGTGGCATGCGAACGGCAACTGCCCGGCTACACAGCAGGTTAAATTTTTTTTAAAGAACCCTTTGGTGTCCTTTATGTATTTCTTACAGATCAGTGCAATAATCTATCATGATGCAACTTTTGCACTTTGATGATTTTTGTGCCAAGAGTTGAGCTTTAAGTTACATTATGTTATCTGTATTTTGTGAAATTGAGAAGAGTTTTATTCACTGGTAAAAAGATGCAAAAGAAGGAGCATCTTAAAGTAAATGTAAACCTTAACTGAATGGCATTTATTTTTCTAAAGCACCGTGTGTCATAATCATTTGCCTTTTTTTCAAATACTTGATCTCACTATGTTTTTATTTGTTGTTGCATCTTAATGCTGTTGATCTTACAGCCACCTTCTATGCAAATGCATGCACTCTGACAATGGTTGCATGGCATTTCTCAGGGTGAGTTTCCTAATGAAACAGCCACCAATGGTCACGGTCAGAAGCCTGTACAACAGGATGACAATGTAGGAGTACAGCTGGGAGCCTCCCTATATCAGAAAGTGTCTGAACAAGGACCTGCATAGCAGGATTACCAGGTATTAGTTTAATGAAAAACATTTACTTTAAGTGAAATCATTTTTTATAAAAGCACATATTCACCGGCAAAGATTTGCAGGAGTTAATGTCTGTCTATGTTTGCATCTATGTATCTATGTATCTATGTATCTATGTATCTATGTATCTATGTATCTATCTATGTATCTATCTATCTATCTATCTATCTATCTATCTATCTATCTATCTATCTATCTATCTGTCAATCACAAAAAGAATACATTAGCACTTACCAATCCACACCTTTATGGTAGTTATTTCCATTGAAAAACTGCATCTCTTCAAATGTTTTTGGATTTGGAGAATTGCTAAAGATGGCAGGATGCATGACCAGGAAAAGGTATAATGCCGTAGTGCCTGCAATCAACATAACCAGTTTTCTGTTAAATGCATTTTTTGTTGAAGTAATGTTAATTAGCTATAGATATTAAATGACTCTTGTTAGAAAAGTTTATACAATACTGTGATTATTGGTTTAAGGGTTTAAAATTACCCCTCCCCTTGATTTTGTTTTACATTTTTAGTGCACATACCTTTTTTGGAACAACCTTCATTTTGGTCATATGATATTTCCCGGTTTTCTTCCATTCATCTTCCTGCAGAGAATAGTGCCATATAATGATGTGGACACTGTTATCAGCATTATTCTCCTGTGAATGAGGGAAGCTGAATTACTTGCCCCCAGAGGTTGTGTCTTTAATGTTCTAGGCTCACAGAAAGGAGGTTAAATAATGCTGGGCATCAATCAACCTAGAAAAAATGCAGCCCCTTGGAGAAGGATGAAAAGTGCACCGCTGGAACTTGGAGTGGGTTAGAACTACTTTGGAACTTTTTTTCTAAATGGGGACAGAGTATATAAAACAAATCTTTAAAGTTGGTCTTCAAGACTTTCAGTAAACTAGGTATAGTAGAAAAACTCTATAAAGTTAATCCTTCAAGACAATGTTAAAAAAAATTGCATAGTCCAGTTGGGTGGTGGTGGCTGAAAATATATATTGCCAATGATGTACAGTGTATAAAATCATATTTGTCTGCTAGTAGGATTGTATGCTCTGTTAGTGAAGAAGATTTCCACCTATTTATATATTGAGTCCAATACAACTTTAACAACTTTTAATCTCTTTTAGTTAATAAAATATAGAATAAATCATAAAGGAAATTAAGAGAAGTTCTATGTGTTTATAAATCTAGCAAGTTTTTTTTCAGGTTTTGCATTTTTGACATTTCTCTGTCTGTAATTTTTTTGTTCAATAGAACATCCATATTACACTGACAGCTGTTTCTGCTTTTTAATGAAGCCCTGGCCAGTGGCCCCTTTAAGTGAAGGAAGCCTCACAGCTCAGCATTGCAGCCATGTCACAGGTTAATTTTTCTCTTCCCATTGGTGATAGACAGGACGTTGGGAGGGAGCAAGCAGAGTAGCTGGAGGACTGTAAGTGGCTGCATTGGTTGCCATACTAAACCCCACCAACTGGACACAGGAGGAGGAACATGATTGGCCAGCAAGAGTTAAGCCCTGGCCTCCAGACCAAGGGGGGAAGCCAAGAGAGCTTCGGATGGTCATTTGCTTGGGACACTTTGACAAGATACTTTTACCATGTGAATTACAAATACCATGACTTGAAGGTTGAGCACTCCACCGGTATAGTTAAAGTGCCCCACTGCTTGTAGACTTTGTCATAGATTTACCCACTAGCCAATGGTTAGCAAGGATATAATTTATTCCAGTTAGACCCCTGTAGTTCACAAAACCCCTCTTACCCCAATACAGTATTCATGGTTATTTATCACTACTTGCAGCGTCATGCTACACCTGCCCAGAGCCTTTGAGGCAGGGCCTCTCAAACAAGGTGGGTCATCATTAGAAACAGTAGAAGAACGTATCATTCCATCAATCACCATCAGCTCCTTTGAGTGAAGTGCTACATCAATTATTTTTTTAATAAATCTAATTACCAAGTAGAAGTGACAGGTGATAAAATATAACAAGTATTGAGGTGGTAATTTTTTACCAGCTGTCTAGCATATGTATCTTTCAACTTGTTTATACGTCCATATTGCTATTGTCAATGCAAATACAGATACTGTATAGTAACGTATATCAGAAAAACATAAGTAAATCAAAGGACACTTGCCAGCAAAATAGTAGTGGGTAACCACTATACACAAAGGATTGAATGCACAAACAGTAAGTGGTTAAGATGCCAGATGTGCTAATTATGATCATACTATTACATTTTATTTTAAACATTTCTTTAGAATTGGTTGAGTTTCATCACAGGACTAGAGCTAAAAAAAAGGTGAGCTAATGTTAGCCCTTTAGTATTACTCGTTTTCTGTTAATTGTCACACACTCATGCACTTGTGCATTTATTTGCTAGTTATCCACTAATTCAGAAGCTACAAAATAGTAAACCATGCATGAGACAGAGACATTCAGGAACAGTCCAAGCAGGTTTGTCCTGAACCTTTATTCAGCAATGCAGCAAACAAACACAGTTAAATACAGAAGGGCTGTGTACAGCAGGTCAGTAACATAAAACAAAACATCTGCACATCTGAGCCACTAACTAAACCTAGGAAATGTCCTGACTAACAGTGTCCTTCTTTAGAGGTTCTCCAAACCAAACAGGCAGCTCTCTCCCTCTCTGCTACCTCGGAATGTGCCTCGGCGTCTTCATGTCCTATGCACTGTATAGCATGTGATGACTCACTGGGCCTTTGCTGGAGTGGAGGGGAGCTGAAGTGACCGGTCGAACAGCCAGCCAGGATTGTAGTTTGAGTGAGTGTAACTGTTATTTAAGCACCCAAGACAAAATGAGCCCCACTGCAAGGGTTAAGATTTTATTTCTTCATGAATTGGACAGCAATGAGAAAACCAGTAAGACCAAACTGGCTCCTAGTTCTGGTCCTCCTTGTTCCAGTTTGAACGCAGTTGTTGAGGGAATGAGCCTTATATTAAGTCAAAGGGTAATTTTGCCAGCAATAATCAAAATACATATTTTTAGTTAATCCTTAACTATATTAAATGTTATTTTTTACATTTATCTTTAGCTATATTATATAACTTATTTCCCTAACACATCAGATAACATGTTGCCACATCATACTGTAGTATGAGTATTTTTACATGCAAACTTGATTATTTTATTAGTAGAAATGTATAGTAAAATAATTTAACCTTTCTCTTCTTCTCTTTTGTGTTTAGTTGGCCTTCCGGTTTGTAAATGCTTGAAGACAGCTTCATTTTTAATTTTTAAAAGCATTTTTACCTATTAATATTTTTATTTTGCAACTGATTTATTGAAGTAGTAGAAACTGTTTGCTTAGCAAAAATATTTCTCTTTGCCAAGTAAATGTACACTGAACTTAGTAAATAGATGAAGCTTCATGTTGAAAGCCCAATCATTGCTAGAAAAAAACATTTGTTTGTTTTATTTTCCTTGCACATGAATGGGTATTCAAAGTGAACAAAGCTTAACTTAATTTTCTAAGTTCAGTGAGCATTCAAGTTACTAAGTGGACTGTCTCTGTTACTTTACAAAACCAACCTTTATATTTTACACACCTGCCACCACAGAAAATAAAGTGGTATACAATACACTTCTAACAAATACCCTATAACTAAAAGACTGCTCACCGGTTTTTTGTGGCCCCACAACAAGAAATTTGGGCAATCGATCACAGGTTTTTTCTTTCGACCATATATCACGGTGGCGCTTGTCATCACATGGATTCTAAAAGATATTAGCAAATAAGTAATACTATCGGGCATTCACTGGTGTGGATATAAACTATTCTATCACAGATTAAATAATTCAAAAATTTGTATTCCACCTAGTTATACCTCCTTATAAAATATCAAACAACACAATGCCCTTTGGTGACTGGAGATACTGGCATGGAACAAAATGTAAATTTTTGTACATTGTTATTGTTTGATATTAGCAAAAAAAACATCTGAACTACATACACATGACATGACATCAGTTTATTATGTTATTTCCCTTGACAGTTTTTTTAAATAACTTGTTTCATAAGACATTAAGACCTTGCAAGTCAGTATGCACATACTTGTCATACAGAAAAGAGTTGCACAAGTGAGGTATTAAAAACAGGAAATAATTAACATTCTGTCAGAGTGACGTTTGTCATGCAATCTTAATCATGTTAAACATAATCTGTACAAACAAAGGATGGAGTCAAGAGCTGTCAGTTTATAAGATGTCTATATGAAAATAAGCAAGTAGAAAGCAGGGAACTACACACCTGCCAGATGTATACAGCAGCGTTTGTTCTTTACAGCAAAACACAGCAAATCAGAAAATTATTAATAGCACTCACTCCTGAAGGAGCTGCTAGATTTTACCATCCTTGCTAGCCTTTTTACTTGTGAATTGGCCTACAGCTACACCTAAACTTTAACTGACCCACCAGTCGTCGTGACCAAAAGACAGACATCCACTCCCTCAATCTTTTTTTTTTGCTATTTTATTGGCTCACATTTCTAGGAGATAGAGGTTTGGGGATACAGAATACCCCAAAACTGCAGCAACCACCCCCCTCTGGATTGTTGTAGTATCTCTGACCTCTGCCACAGGTCAACATTGAACTCTTGTTCCTCTGTCACAGGCTACTGTAGACTAGAAAGACAGACAAGCACTCTGTTCCCAGGCAGCAGGCCCATGAGGGGAAAATAGGACATTTCTATACACACGTCCTCTTCAGGCAAAGCCAGAGAGCCCATGACTCAAAAAGAAGGCAGATGCAAAATGTCTTGGACTTGCAGAAACTCACCAAACCCATATTAAAATAACAAAATCCAGCTCAGGCTGGCTGCAGCCCAGCTGAAAACACTTTAGATTAGGAACACTCTGCCAAGCTAATATCTATTTACTTTATGGTGCGTTAAAGAGACACTAAACACAATTGTTAAATTACTAATGCTGCACTTCCATTGCCGTTTCATGATTTGGAGTGTGAGATATGGGTGCCTGAAACCCACCAGAGGAAACAAGAGTGAGTACCCACTTTCATATGATTCACAAAGCATACAATGTCAAATAGTGAATAAAAAGAAAGTAATGGAGGCACACATGGGTGTCATTCATCGTTGTTAAGTCATTTGGCCTAGTATTTTGCCTTGAAAAAGATGGCCTGAGATTCCTATTGTCCCATTTAAAAATGAATTTATAAACACAAACACCCCTCCAAATTTATTGCTGACTCCTCTGCATAAACCACAAAGCCCCATAAATATGTAGAGTATATGTTTAGCAACCATAGTAGGAATGACATGATCCCTTTTATAAACCTGACTCAAAGTAAAAATACTGTGTACTAAGCATCCTCCTTATTGATAATAAATTAAAATAATTTAATAATAACAATAAATACAATGCATGCAATGGTAATAATGCATAATTAACATGAGTTAAAAGATAAAGTGAACTAATATAATTATAACAACATTTTATCACTGAAATAGCATTATCAGAGAACAGTTAATCTTTCTGTATCTAGCTATATACATTTACTAAAAGTGGAATTATGGGACAGTGCAACAGTTAGTCAATAACTCAAATAGGAATTCATGTAATGATTATTGATTAGCCTGGGTCCTGCAGGTAAATCTAGTTCATATTGCAATAATTATTACAGTATATTTGTATATTATTTGCTAACATGTATAGTAAATAAGATTAAAAAAATAAAATTAATACTTCCAATTGTCATGTGGTGAGAAATGTATTATAGAGTTTTTTTTATAACCTCATACTTAATTATTTGCAATAAAAAAAAACCCAACAGAAATTAAATGGAAATTAAAACTATACACATTCTCTTGTCTGTGGCACAGGGGCCATTATTCATATATGTGACTTTTTTAACTGGCTGCGTTACTCCCTTATCTGGCCTTTTACTGGTCTGCCCTGTCACTAATAACATAGTATATGAGACATCTACTACCCTGTCAGCTTGGGGATCAGTCGGGTTTTTACTGCCCTTACCTGGTCTCTGTGTTTAATGTGTAAATATCCTGGGATGCATAAACTTAAACCTCTTTCGTCATGCACCTGATTGGTCAACATTCAGAGGCAATACAAAGCTTCAGTTTCCTGCACTAGAGGGATTGTGAATTTCCTTGGTGTTCTGTAGTATGGCATTAATTCAAAACACACTCACCATTCCTTAGGCCTCATTTCTTAGGCCCCATTTCTTAGGCCCCATTCTCACCAGATCCACTGCGATCAGTTGGCACCCATCTTTAAAGGATGTCAACAGGAGGGAACCAAAAAATGTTTGGGTGTGAATGAGACCTGTTCACACCACTGCACTGCCTTGCATTGAGTTGCGCTGAATAAAAAGTAAAGCATCCTCTACTTTTTTCAGCACAACGCAATGCAACATATCAAAACGCACGTAAACACAATACAATATAATACAACTCAAGTAAAAAAAAACAGTGCAGTTTGTCCACTCAGCATATGTTACTTCACAAAAAGATTGGTAAAGGATGAAAAAAATGCAACCCATTGGATGTAAAACAGAGGGTCCGTTGACTTGTGATTTAGGTACCACTTTAGCGTGAACAGGGCCTTAAAGAATGTATAGGTCTCTAAGTATTATGATATTTGCCTACACCTCTTTATTCTGTTCGCTACTACAACCACCCTCCTCCTGTCACAGTTACACATGACACTAAATTAAGCAGTTAAATCTTAAAACTGCATTTAACTACCTTAATTATTAACAAAAATGTATCTTATTTCTGAATCACTTGGCTGTAGTTTCTCAAATTATCTGGGAATTCATGCTGATACTGTCCTTCCTTCTGGAGGGTGGCTACTTTTGTTCCCCATGGTCCCTGTGTGTGTTGTAAAGTAGCCACTACTCCATGATCACTCCCGTGATATACTATAACATCAATACAAATTAGTAAACTAAACATGAGATTGTAGTCCATCACGGGACTGACCTTGGAGCGGTGGCTACCCAGACACACACAGGGACCAAAGGGAACCAAAGTAGCCATCCTCCAGAAGGAACGACTGTGTCAGCACCAAGTCAGAGATGATTTGAGGATCTACAGCTGTATGATACACAAGTAAGATACATTTTTGTTAACAGTTAAGGTACTTAAAATCAGGTGAGGGGGTATAAATCACAGGTGACTCCCAGAATTTCTGGATGACTTCAATTTTCACATTTCTGCATATGCAGGGATTCCATAAATCATGTGTAGTCACCCTAATTACATGGGCTTCAGAAATGTGCCAGGCCTTAGTTGTTGATGGACTTCTGCTACCTCAGAAGTTAAAAGAGAACTAAAGACAAACCTTTTCTTTTGGGTCAAAGCAGTACATTTACTAATGTACTTTTGTGACCCAAAGTCAGCAGATAGGGGGCTATGGCCTGCTATTTGCTGACAGTATAGAGTCACGTTGCAGCTGGGAAAGATCACAACAATATTGTCAGGATCCACCCCACTGCTTGAGTGATAGCTGACTCTGCCTCTCTAGAGCCAGAGTCAGCTGTGCCTGCCACCTCCCCTGTCTGACTCTCTAATGAGCACTGAATGAACCGGGGAATGAGCACTGGATGAACCTGGATGAGAGGGAAGGAGTGAAATAGCTAAGGGAGCAGTGAGTCTCTGCTCTCTGTAGGGAGAAGACCGTGAGCTGAGTGGTCAGTGGTTCCTGATCCCTCAGCTCTTGATCTAAAGAGCCAGCATGTGACAGCTGCAGTGTCATACGCTGGCTCTAAGTATTGGGAAGAGTACATTTTACTCTACTAATGCTTCTCCTTTAGCATACCTAATACGCATACCACACATCAGGCTTGGTAATTGGCAAGGTCGTTTGAAAGATTTTGATACACATTCCAAAAAGTTTGATTATTCTGAATTTACAGCCTCTTCAGACATTTTCCAGAATTGTTTTTATCTGTGGAGTTATTTACCGTAATATTTTTACCCTATGCGAGGCTTCTCTCTGCGTGCATGGCATAAGGGAGGGAGCACTGAGGTTTGCAGCTCAGGATTGCAAACAGCCTTTAATGAACAGAGCATTGGCTAATTTGAAGACAAAGAAAAAAACGGATTTCCATGCAAGTTTTGCCTATCCATAAATAGAGAGGCAACCAGTGGGGTGAGTGCTTTTCCGATTTTGGGTGAATGTGTTATTCACAAAACAAATGTGGATTATAGGAAGGCACAGATTAAATTGTGAAGTATGAGGAGACTGTATAATCACAAATATTATTGGTTTAGATGTGAAGAGTTCTATTTGGAACAAATGTAAAGAACTACACTTTGTATATACTGTAAGTAACATCATACACTGGCAGGTTTATGATGGGAAGCGCTATATTTGTTAGCTACCATTTTTTGTGTTACGCAGACAAAGGGGTATTTTCATGCCAGCAGCTTGTAGCAGCTTCCCAATGGGCATGTGTTTTTAGTGTTTTACATTAGCGATGTTATCACATTCACCTTATTGCAAGTAATTTCAGTTTGTTGCTGTGCATTTTTCACTCTGTGTTTCACCAAGTGCAGAATATTAATATATTAGCATTTGCCAGAATTGACTGTGTCATGCCCAATAGTGTCATCTTTAACAGCCTCCATTGGATGTGGTGATATAGTCTACTGTAGACATCACTGCAGAGTGTAATACTACATCGACAGTTTAGTGGTAGTTCTCAAATTGAGGACCCATGAAAAATACGGAAGGGGTTGCCATGGTGACAATTTAAAATCCTTTTATCATCCTGCACCAAAATCCTAATCTCTTTTCCACTACAAAGGTAGGTGCACAAAACAAGTAACCATTATTCATCAATCCCCAAAATAAACAACAATAATAAATCATTGAAAATAAAATAGCAAAAGCAAAATATGCAGTGTTAGCCCACATTATGTTTTATGACAATAAACATTAAAATAAATCATATTCATGTATCAATAAAACTAAATTCATACACAAACAAGGTTCCATCAGTTTTGGTTGCTGAACTCTGGAAACTGAATACATTTACACTGATGCATTTTAATATTCCCCAGAAAGAGCAGAAGGATTCAGTTTATGGTTATGCCACTTTACTTGGAGACATTTTAATGCATAGATTTGCAGGGAAAAAAACATGAAAGAGGAAAATAATGGTTTATATGAATTTCCATTCACACAGTGCCTTGTGTGCTGGATTTAATATATACACTCACCTGCCAGACAGGATTCCTCTGCTCGGGGAAAAGCTGAAAGTACTTATGTGCTAGCTGAACTGGTGGAAGTGTTTGCAACTTTAAATTGGTCCAGGTCTGCACAAATTTGGCCAAGTTCACAAACGTGTACAAGCCAAGTCTGTCATTCCCATAGTTAGACAAGTGGGTCATGAAGATGCTGATCTGAAACACAATTATAGAAATATGTCAAAGTTTGCAGTAATCCGTTGTGCCACTGGGGGACAGTCATGCAACATTTTTTCTATAGTATGTGATTTTCCATTTAATTCTATTTTACATATCTTTTATTGAACTACATATCTTCAGAGCAGCTCAAATTACCAATGAGTGTAATGGTATTGAAACGTACTAGGCCATTACAAACATTTTAATGTTTATTACAGTAGCAGTTAATATCTTCTTTTTGTCATTTTTTTTTTTCCACAGCTAACGCATGGAATAAAACACCTTTGTTTTAATTATTTATTTCATACATTTATATAGCCACAGGATATTCTGTCATGCTTTATAGGATATGTAGAACTATTCTTTTAATTTCCTGCCCCAGTGGAGCTTACATTTTGTCTCTTTCCCACCACAGTCTCATGGACACCTATGCACACAAAGGGCCTATTGTGCCTATTGTGGGTTAAAAGTTAATAATGTAATGGTCAGTGTATTTTTGGTTTGTGGAAGGGAGCAACATAGATGCTCTCAAAATGTCAAACATTATAGCACATTGAGAGAAATAAGGAGTACTGATACTGTCCCTCTTTCCACCTCAGTTGTCCCTCTTTTTGGTCTGATGTAGAGATATAATATAAAGACACTATTTAACTACCAAAAGAGTTATTTGGCAATTAAACCTTTATCTTATCTCCTAATTACAGTAAACTCTCTGTTATCCGGTAATCAACTAACAAGAAGGGGGTGATTTACTAACCTAAACACACGCACGCACCAGGTGTGTGTGATTTTCATACAGCAAAACGTATTTATCGACCAAAAAGTCTCTAAAAGCATATTTCCACTAATGCCATATATGGAAAAATCATGCACATGATGCATATATAATGCTGCGTCACAGTTTAGACAAAATGGTTAGCTCATGCATTTACATTCCTGCATTCATCAACGCAAGCAACACAACATAGAGCTAATTTACACAACATCACCTTGCAATTCATGCAAGGCTTTGCACAACACACCTGCTGGGTGTGTACACACTACAAAGGTGTTTAGATTCCACCCATAGATCATGCTGGGAGGGAACACACTACAGAGGTGTATACATGTTCGTGGTGTGTTTATAAGGTTAGTAAATCAACCCCGAACACTCATCTAACCAAAAAAAAAATCCCCTGTGTACTCACTGTTCCTCTGATCTGCACCATTTATTATCCTGGAAACAATTGTGTGCCTATTTCTCTTAATTTGCTTTAAGTGTGTCTATTTGTCTCAATTTGCTTTTGATTACTGCATGTCAATATTAATATGAAGTTAATACAGAGTTTATGTTATGTTATGGTATAGTATGTGGTATGGCATTAGTTAGACCTCTTTTTAATAGTAACTCTCAAGCAACCAGAAACCACATTTATCTGGAATCTGCCAATCCCCGTTGATGCCGGATAACAGGGAGTTTACTGTATGTTGTTTACTATTTTCTATTTACTATTTAAGGCCAGTATAAAAGAAAAGTGATAGTAAAAAAAAAAAAAAACAATTCTGGATATAACCAATCATTTTTCGCAATTTTATGAATTTGTAATGGTCTGCATAACTGGGGCATAGCAGGGGTGTGTCCATTGGCTAAATACATTGTGCTGGAAGGTGACCCCCTTTCTCAGAATCTCAGAAAGTTAGGATGTATGCTTCTAGGTCCATCTGTCCACAGCACATTCTCTAAAAGGATTTTGGCTTCCTCAGGTAAGTTTTGGCAAACTCCAATCTGGCTTTTTTATGTTTCTGTCAGCAGTGGGGTCCTCCTGGGTCTCCTACCATAGCGTCCTTTTTCATGAAGATGGTGATGTAGAGTGCGAGTTGACACAGTTGTACCCTATTCCTGAAGGTCAGCTTGAATTTGTTTGGAAGTTGATCGAGGGTCTTTATCCACCATTCAAACAATACTTTGTTGCAATCTTTGATCAATTGTTCTCTTTGGTCCATGTCCAGGGAGATTAGCTACAGTGCCATGGGCTGTACACTTCTTGACAATGTTGCGCACAGTGGACACAGGAACATTAAAATTTCTGGAGATGGTCTTGTAACCTTGAGATTGTTCATGCTTTTCCACAAACAAAAGCATGGAATGTTTCACATTTGGCTTTTTTCCCCCCAACTTATTTGTGTCATACCAATACTAGTTGTCATTGTAATGACAGTTCAGTGTCCCCTGGTTACATGATTTTATTTACTTTTGTAAACATTTTTTCCTACTTTTTGATTTTTTTTCAACTTTTTTCATTGTTTGGCTATTCTGCTCAGTACCACAGAGGTACCATTCGGCCCCTATGAGAATAGGCCAAACGGCAGCGAGTAGCCTTCCGGAGGTTCGGCTCAGCCAATCCAACATTTAACTACTTCTGCACTTTGGGTCGGCTGAACACGCTGAGCATGTTCGGCCGACCGGAAGCCAGCCGAAGCAACTTGATGTACGGCTGAAATCAGCTGTACAATCAGCTGTACAAGCCTAAAGTGAATAGCCAAACAGCGTTTGGCTAACTTAATTTCAGGTTGGTTATTCACAAGGCCTTCGACAGCTTTGTGAATAACCCTGTATATATTTTTAGTAAGTAAAACCCCTGAAGAATAAAATGGTGGCAGTTGCAATTTTTTATGTCACACAATATTTGAGCAACTGTTTATCAAACCCAAATTTTTGTTAAACATTGCATTCCACTTAATTATAGTGCACCTAAACACAATATCCAATAATTGTAAAGTATAAGATATGAGGCTGCATTGAGAATATATATACCAAACATGTCAGGCCTTAAAATTGCGTGTGCCCCTGAGCAGCAACAAACTTCAGTACTCAAAATTGTCTATAAGCAACTCTTTAAATGCCTGTACAGGTCATCTATTTAAAGTTATCCATGAACAACGACTGAAGAATTATTGCTCTCAATCTTGCGTGGCAATGTATGTGTGGCACCCGACGCATGTTTTTAGGATTTGGTTTCATTTTTGGGGGGTTTGTACATTTTTTTACTTACACACACAGTGCAAAATAAGCAGTATTAAAGTGAACAAAAGCCAATTTATACAGACTGCCACAGTACCAAAGCACACTTCCAAATCATCCTGTTTCACATGAAGGAGCACACTTTTGATGGTTTTACTGACAAAAATTACCTCCCAGAAGAGATTTTCCATTACCTTTCTGTTCATTCTTATGCTAAGTCTTTTTTAATTGAACACTCATCCACCGCACCAAGGCTGCATATGAACAATCTACGCATGGACTAATGTGCACAATAGTGCAGGAGTCAGGAGAGGAGCTCTGCTCTGAAGCACTGGCTCAATCTCTCTCAATCCCGCTTGGGGCCACCTGGAATTCTTGCCGACCTGATTTAGAAGGCGTCTCCTGACCTGCAGAACAACAGAGCAGTGGACGACCAAGGCAAGAGGGACTGAGGGGACTCAGTGAGCCTCACTGAGTAAATCTAGACTGTAGATCTTCTTCTTACACAGACCATGTGCCTGTTTGCTTGTAAGTGCAATCATAAACCTTATCTTAAAAAGCAAAGAACTCACCACTCCAATTCCACCAGACTGCAGATCAATATAGACATCAGGTGCAGGCTTTTCACGTTTCCAATGCATTTCACCACCTGGACTAGAGGTCCTCTATGATTATTCCCAGGTGGTGAAACGCATGAGTGGCATTCGAGTGGGAGAGATACAATGGTGGTGTATACCATGTATTTTGAACTTTGCATGGAATTTCCAACAATAAAGTTGGATTTGTATGGAGCTCAGTTTTGTGTGCGGCTGGACAGTGTCAGCACAAATACAATGATTTGAGGATCTGCAGCCGACCTATATATATATATAAATAATGTACATTTTTGTTAATAGTGTACTTGAATGTATTTTTAAGATTTAACTCCTGAGTTTAGTGTCACTTTAAATCTTAAAAACACATTCTAGTACCTTAACATTTAACAAAAATGTAATTTATTTGTGTATCACTCGACTGTAGATCCTCAAATCATCTCTGAATTGTTGCTGACACTGTCCTTGCTTCCGGAGGGTGGCTTTATTTGTTCTCCATGGTCACTGCGTGTGCTGTAAAGTAGCCACCACTCCAAGCTCTCTCCTGTGATGGACTACAATCTCACATTTAGTATACTAATTTGTATTAAAATTGTAGTATATCATGGGAATGAGCTTGGAGCAGTGGCTACTTTACAACACAGGGACCATGGGGAACAGAAGTAACCACCCACCAGAAGAAAGGACATTGTCAGCATTAGTTCTGAGTTGATTTTAGCATCTGCAGATGCTCAAATTGAATAATCCTCAAATCAAATACACAAATAAGATTCATTTTTGTTAATAGTACTTGAATGCGTTTCTAAGATCTAACTCTTGAGTTTAGTGTCACTTTAATATTTACCCAAACCGCTTCTCATGTAAGGGCCCACTGCAGATTTCCAATATTTACACGTGGTATGTCTGCCACTGCTAGTATGCAAAGACACCAAAGGTGTTATTTTGGAATAGGCTTGAACTCAGTCCTAATCCAGATAGATTTCTATAAGAAGAAATGTTATTCACTGCACGAACTAACACTTTTCACCATAAATGTCCACATAAATTCAAGTATATGTAATCTCCACGGCTAAAGTCTCAATTTAGCACTCCACTGAGAGATCTACAATATTGTATTTGTTATTGTTACTCTGATGACTCTTATACCTTAATAATCACTTTAAAAAGCTGTGCAGTTTGCTGATGCTACTGAGCATGTTGAGCTCTGAGAATGGAAGAATTCAGATGCTGCATTTATTGCTTTGAACATACAAGAACAGGTGTCAAAACAAAAGGTGAAAGAGTCCAAAATTCCTTAAATTGTTTGTAATTCAAACACATAAAAAAATACAATGTTTTTTTGGGGAACAAAATCTCCCTTTATCATGGCTTAGATAACTACAATAAGGACTTGAATGGACTCA